CTCGTTTACGGCTCATTGTGACAACACAAGTGCAATCAACATCTCTAAGAATCCAGTACAGCATTCACGAACAAAGCATATAGAGATAAGACATCATTTCCTCAGAGAGCAAGTGGAGAAAGGGAGTCTTTTGATTGAGTACATACCCACTGAACATCAATTAGCTAATATATTTACTAAACCACTTGACATGAATAGATTTACCTGTTTGCAAAAATCTCTTGGTATTGGAAATTTTTGATTTTGACCACTAACTGAGTTTGTTCTGAAGTGCTCAAGTGATACAGTGTTGAAAGGGCGGTCGGTGATACTTCACAATTCTGTCAGGTGCACTTCAAACATATGTGATACAAAAATTCCCTGGTATTCCTCTGTCAGCATACACTCAGGCAAAAATGAGTGGTGAGTGGTGTTTTTGTTTCGATTTGTCAATAAAAAAAAAAGAGAAAAAAAAGGTGCTGACATGAGTAGATTAACAAAATCGCTCGGGTCTAAGTTGAACAACATACAGTTCTTTCGACGGTCTAAGGTCAGATGTAACTGATTCATCATACTCCGCTGTAAGGTGATACTTTACAAGAGTATATCTCAATGAGATAGACTGGGCTTAAGTGGTGAAACAGTATGATTGGACTCAACGTCCTAGAAGTTCAGGCGGATGAAAAACAAATACGAGAAAAATGTATCTTCACTGGGTGAAGTAAGCACTGGACGAAGAGTGAGGTGTCACTGACTCAACTGGATACACTGCGAACTAAGGTACGAAAGAATAAATCCCTTTGGTGTTAAAATCGTAATTTTGTCGCGTAACGGATTTCTGTTTCATTAAATTTTTTAAAAGTTATTTTTGAAAAGATTGATGTGAGTGGTTGAGTAAATTTTCGGTTATGAGGAAGTGGGATCCGAAAAATCAGAGATTTCCCAAGCAAACCCTTTGCCCAAAATAAAAAGAGGTGTTTCTCACTCTATCCCTGCGAAGTTCTGGAGCTGAAGAACCCTAAAATCTGGGAGGTTGATTCGCAAGAGTGTGAGGTCCAACAGAGAGTTACGAAGAGAGAATAAAATCCCTAGATTCAGTCTCAGCATGGATCCAAAAGAAAAGAGAGAAGAAAAAGGTGAGGATCGTCATGAATCAGAGGAAGATTCATGTGGAGAAGGAAAATCGAGTGAACCCAGGAAAGAAGACTCTTCAAACTCGTTTGTGAGTGCTGAACAAGATCCAGAAGAGAACCCATCAGAAGAATCTCGCCGAAATCCGAGGGAGATTCTACGGACTAGCAAGGAAGATACAGTGGGCGATGAAATCCAAGAACTCGAGAGCCCAGAGGAGAAGATCCAAGAAACGGACGCGGAGATCCCAGAAGAACCACAAGAAGGAAACACTGGGATCAAAGTCGAGGGAAAAGAAACCGAGGAGCTTCAGACCTCTCTGCCTCCAGAACAAGTTGATTCGGGTAAACTTGATGATCTTTTTACTTACTCTACTAGAGATATAGAGGAGAGTTCGGATACTGAGCCTAGACTGATAAGGAAAGGAACAAGAAGGCGTGTAGATTTTGATATGGATGTGAGTGTTGAGCATCTAGAATCTGGGAAGAATGTGGGAGATACATCCAAACAGATAAAAGAACTGCCCTCAGTTCACTTAGGGCAAGAAAAATCGAAGGATGCTGAAATCGAAGTGGTTGCGGATTCAGCAACAGAGATAGAAGTGCTGAAATCAAAAGAGGATGATGAACCTGAAGTGGACTCACGTGCACGAAAGGTTGAAAGAAAGAAGTCTAAGGTAAAGATTGCTGAGAAAAAGGGCAAGAGTTCTTACTCACGAGTGATGGCTGAACAGAGAGCACGTACCAGATCTCAGGTTGCTGCAAAACCAGTGGCTACTGCAAAAAGTCCTAAGAAGATTCACAGGAAGACAAAATCACAGCCTGCGTTGGTGATTGCTGAGCACAAAACCCCAAAGAAAGCTGAGAAAAGGAAGGCTGACCAGCAAAAGACATGCCCCGGGCAAAATCCTCAAAGGATTCTGAGGAATATCGAAAGGAGAAAATGAAGGGGAAGAGAAAGGTTCAGGAAGAGACTGAGATACCCAGTTCTCCTTCTGCGTCAGAAGATGAGGAACTACTGGCAAGCCTGTGCATGTCTCATCACTTTGTTGATGAGAAATCTGAACAAAGGTTCAATGATATGAAGAATCTCAACACGATTATGGAGAGAAATGTGAATGTCAGCAATCTCAAGGAGCAAGGGATATGGGACATCCTGGAGCGTCTAAATTTAGAGGAAACAGTCACCTATGCATGTCCACACAGCAAAATTCTGATCAAAGAATTTTATGCAAACATCACTAAGAAGATTGTGAAGGCTGGAGATCCAATGTACCATCGGGTGTACATAAGAGGGAAGATACTGCATTTTTCTCCAGCAGTAATTAACAAATTTTTGGGCTTGAAGAACACAATTGTGACCACCATGGACGAGCTGGACAGGGAGATTGACCAGAAAGAGCTGGAGATAGCTCTCACTGACACTTTTGATGAAAAGAGGAAAGGAGAAATAGCCCCAGTAGAGCTGAACTTCGAGGCTTCAGTACTGTTCAAAATAGCTAGAGCTAACTGGTTACCAACCCAGCGATCAAGTCTGATTCACAAGAGGCTAGCAGTACTCATCTACTGTGTGAAGAAAGGGATCAAGATCAACTATGGAAACATGATCTTCGATCATATTCTGGAAAGAGCACTGAACTTCAGAGCAAGGTTCAGATTACCTTATCCCTGCTTAATTCAAAACATCCTCACTAAGCAGTGCCCGGAACTCATTGATCCAAAGGAAAACACTGAAGTGATTCAAAAACCCCTGGTGGTTGAGACAAGAATCAAAAGGAAGAAGGGTAAAGGAAAGAAGGACTACAAGAAGATGTTGGAGACTCTCAAGGATGCAGAAAAAACATTGATAAAGATGGAGCTCGGACTAAGGAAGCAGGCAACACAATGTCAGCAAATCCGTGCAACTGTCCACGAATATGTTGAAGCAACTCTGAGTGTTCATTATTCATTCAGGTACTCCTCACCTTAATATTATTGTTTTTGATTATTTCATCCATGCCCACAGGGGGAGAAATTGAGGAATCCGAAGGAGACCTAGATTCAGAAGAAGAAGACTCAAAGGAGGAGGAAGAAGGAGATGATTCTAAGATGCCTAAACCGACTCCTAAGAAAGCGGAGGCATCGAAGAAGTAAGGAACAAGCAGGAAGACTAGAAGAGCCAGGAGTTCTTCCGATAACTCGTCACTTCGTTTTTGAGTTTCTTTTGCTTATGATCTGAACTTTTCATGCTCTTGATGATTCTATGTGGTGAACTGAAGTGTTATGTCTGTTTTTGGTAACCATGTGCTTTGATGACTCTAATTGGTTTGTCTTGAACCTTGATGAATTCAGTTGAAGGATTCGTGTTTGTGTGTATGATCTGAAATAACCAAAAAGGGGGAGATTGTTAGTGCAAGTATTTGCACGTGTTGTTTTGGTTGTTAAAAGGTTGTTGCAGGTTCAACAACCTATGAGAGATTTCAGGAGAAGAATCCGGTGAAGATTGCACTCGAGCAAATCTGAGGTACAACTGACGAGACTCATATAGAGTCAAAGACCGAAGAGATAAAGTCAAAGACTAAAGAGATAGAGTTAAAGGCTGAAGAGATAGAGTCAATAACAAGAGATAAGGCAAGATCCTGAAGATAGACTCGAAATCAACAAGAATCAAGAAGAAGTCGATCCAATCACTTCGTGGAGATCTACGGATGAACCAGAAGAGTTTAAATAGAGGGTCAAGTACATATCAGCTCTACAGAGAGCATGAGCATAATTTCTTAGTCTATTTCATTCAGTGAGTGTGTTCTCATTCTTTGGTGAGTGCGAGTCTGAGAGGGAGACCGATTGGGCAAATCTCTTTTCTCTGGTGAGTGATTTGTGTTGTGAGGTTTTTTTATCAGTAGAATTCATTGTGAGAGGGAAAAAAACTCAGGAGGAGTTTCGGGTGTGTGTAGTAGGTACGATTCTTACAACAAAAAGTGAGTTGTACTTGACTATCTTTCTCAAGTGAATAGAACTGATTAGTTTTCCACATTACTCTTTGAGTGTTCAACTTTTTCAATGTATGTCATTCTTTGTAATCGACCAGATGTATCCTATGCGTTGAGCATTACGAGTACATACCACTCAGATCCAGGTGAGTCACACTGGATCGCCATCAAGAACATCCTGAAGTACTTGAGAAGGACTAAGGATGTGTTCTTGTATGCAGTGGGTCGGAAGACGAGCTCGCTGTAAGAGGTTAAACCGATGCTAGTTTTCAGTCAGACCCGGATGACTACAGATCGCAGTCTGGCTATGTTTTATGCTTGAACGGAGGCGCTGTAAGGTGGAAAAGTTCTAAGCAAGTGACCGTTGCAGATTCTACTATAGAAGAAAGGAAGTTGTTTGGATCAGAAAGTTCATTGCGTTTTGGGTGTCATTCCTAGCGCTGATAGCCTCATTGCTCTGTATTGTGACAACAATGGTGCAATTGCACAAGCGAAAGAATCCAAGTCCCATCAACGATCCAAACACATACTCAGACGATTTAACCTCATCAGGGAGATCATAAACATAGGAGACGTGCACATATGTAGAGTATCGACAGATGACAACATTGCCGATCCGTTGACGAAGCCTCTCCCTCCGTCGAAGCATGAGGGTCATGTTAGGGATATGGGCATTAGATGTTTAGCAGTCCATGAGTAGAGCAAGTGGGAGATTGTTGGCTTAGTACTCTATGATGTACTGCTGTATGAGCTTTATTATGATACATTCGATGTATTGACAATTGCTATGGTTATATGGATGAGTGTTTGATTTATTACATGTTTTGCATACTATAATATGTTGTGAAATCCATGTATTGTTATGAACAATACTAAACTCCCTAGTCATATATCGTTGTGGGAACAATGATGTACTAAGACTAGTATGATGTGTGATAGATGGTCATAAAGATGATCATAGGTATTGGATACGATCACAATCATAGGTATTCGTTGGAGAACGGAATACTGGATTGACCCGCATGAGATTGTCACATGGACTAGCGTCATGACTTGAATCTTATGTGACGGTTCCATGATTGAATCATGTGACCTGAGATGTCTACGGAATCTAACATGAGGAGTTGTGTACTTTGAATACGTCAAACGTTCTGCGTAACAGGAGGGCTATAAAGGCGTGTATCAGGTACGACACGAATTATGTGTTGGATTGTAGATAATCAAGATAGAATTTGTACCTCTCGTAAAAGAGAGAGATATCGCTGGGCCCCTCGTGTGAGCGAGACTGTAGAAATGTATGGCCACACTATAGTCGAACGTCTTCTATTTCGTACAGTTAAACTCAGTGAACGAGAAAGCAGTCGAATCAGATAAGGTGGCTTCTCTGTGCCTTATGTTCCACATATGATATCGTGATACAAAAGGATCATCAACCGGAATCATCACTGACGTTCGTATGATCACGAACAAACTCTATTCGAGATAGGTAGTCATAGTGTCTTGCTAGAGACCGCCTATAACTTGTATACTCGAAATAGAGGTTTCAAATTATACTGCTATATCGGATGAGCCTATAGGGTCACACACATAAGAAAAGACAAATGCGTGAGAAAAGAAGAGAAATTCCTGGTGGAACGGAGGCCAGACCGACCGGCCCAGAAGTCTGGACCGATCGGTCTAGCCTACCCAGACCGATCGGTCTAGACGCGTGGACCGGTCGGTCCAGAGGTGGGGAGCAAGGGTTGTTCGGTCTGGAAAAAGGTCCTGACCGATCGGTCCAGAGGCTAGACCGATCGGTCCAGACGTCGGGAATTAGTTATCTCACTCTAATTAGGGTTTTGGGTTAACCAACTCTTGGGGAACGCCTCCTAACCTTTGTTGGACGAAATCTTAAGCTTTTTCAGAGGTTTTTGAGATCGAAAAACAAAGAGAAAGATCCCTAAAACCCCTTGCGCATTGGAGAACGAGTTCTTCAGTCCTAGCAGACAAGTTCTAATCTGTTGGAATCCTTTCAGTCTTGTGGATACGTGTAGAGGGCGAGGTAATCTTCTGCCTTTGTGATCGGACGAACACATCAATTGATACAGGCCCTGGATCAATTGAGGTAAGCATTCTAACGCTTCTACGAAATCATGCATGCTTGGTTTTAGGGTTTTATTAGAAAATTTTTGTTTTACATCCGCTGCGCAAATCCTAGAACCGATCTCTTAGAAATTAGATGTTGGTTTAGTGCTCTATGATGAACTGTTGTATGAGCTTTCGTATGATACATTTGATGTATTGACACTTTCTATAGTTTTATGGATGAGTGTTTGATTCATTACGTATTGTGCATACTTTAATATGTTATGAAATCCATGCATTGTTATGAACAATACTAAACTCCCTAGTCATATGTCATTGTGGGAATAATGATATGATGTGTGATTGATGATCATAGAGATGATCATAGGTATTGGATACGATCACAATCATAGGTATTCGTTGGAGAACGGAATATTGGATTGACCCGCGTGAGATTGTCACATGGACTAGCGTCATGACTTGAAAAACCCAGAGTTAGATCCCTGAAACCCTTGCGCAAAGAAGAACGTGTTCTTCAGTCCTAGCATATAAGTTCCAACTGTTGGAATCCTTTCCGCCGTGTGGATATGTGTAGAGGGCGAGGTAATCTTCCTGCCTTAGTGATCGAACGAATACATCGATTGATACAGGTCTCAGATCGATTGAGGTAAGCATTCTAACATTTCTACAAAATCATGCATGCTAGGTTTTAGGGGTTCATAAAAATTTTGTTTTACATCCGTTGCGCAAACCCTAGAACCGATCTCTTAGGAATTAGATTCGCTGTAGAGATCCCAGAAATGCCAACATTAGATTTACTGTAGAAATCTCAGGAATCCCAACAGGTCCCATGGGTTCCAACCAACTATTTCTATCCCACAAGCCATTCTAGACAATCCTAAAGGTCAAGAAATCAATTCAACAAAACATATCACAATGTTTTCAGGACGTTTCTACTCTCTCATGCCATAGATCATCATATCAATGTTCAAAACGTTTTTATGCACGTGATCTTATATGTCCTAAACACTATGAGAATGCACAATCCCAACAACAAACTATATGATCCTAATGCATCCTATATGCACATGTAACTAACAAGTAAAAATAAAAGGAAAAAATGCATGCAACACTACTCTATATCGATATGGTTTGGCGTTAGACGCATCCTCCCCCAGATTTGAACTGGACACCGTCCTCGGTGTCCGTGATCTTATATGTCCTAAACACTATGAGAATGCACAATCCCAACAACAAACTATATGATCCTAATGCATCCTATATGCACATGTAACTAACAAGTAAAAATAAAAGGAAAAAATGCATGCAACACTACTCTATATCGATATGGTTTGGCGTTAGACGCATCCTCCCCCAGATTTGAACTGGACACCGTCCTCGGTGTCAATCTGTTGGGTTCCCTTCGGGTTCCTAGCATGCGATCTCATCGATCTAGGGTTTGGATTCTAGGTTTCATGCAGCGGAAGGAAAGATCTAAACCTAGCCAAACGTCACACAAAACCAATTGTGCAATAACCCGAACAATCGTGTATATCGTCGTGGGATTCGAATACTTACCTCGTTCTTTCAAGATCTGGAAGTATCAATCGATCCAGGGCCTGTTTTAATCACCAAGAGTTGAAAGCACAACTCCTCTACACGTATCCACACCGGCGGGATGAATTCCAACACTTTGGAATGTATCTGCTAGGATTTGTGAAGACAAAACGATGTCCTTGACTTGGAATCGATATTCGAATCTTTTGAACTCAAAATCAAGCTTCTCTAAGCTCTCATGAGTGTCTTGGACGTCTTAGAGTGATTATCTAGGGTTTATGGCGGCTCCCCCATTAATTAGGATTGCCTAAAACCCTTAAAACGCGAAATAGGAAATCTGCCCGGAAGTCGGACCGTCCGGTCTAGGTCTGGACCGGATGGTCTGGCTTCAACGTGGAACGGACGTTCCGCTTTTACTCACAGAACGGACGGTCTGGCCTAGCGGAATGGTCAGTCCACTTTCCTCTAGAACGGTCGGTCCGTAACGCCTGGACCGGACGGTCTGGCCATCTGGAACTCTTCCAGATTGCTCCGTCATTCCTT